GGGCACCTGCCTCCAGCCGGGGGGACGCAGCCCGCGAGGGGACACACACGGGACATGGCAGCGTCAGCCCGCGCCAGCGGCCACTGCTGCAACCCGGGCCGAGCGGGTTCTCTTTCAGACGTGTGTATGTCAGATAAAACCTCTGCAGAGACAGCTGCAAATATTCATATATAAAAAAAATTCTTCCGTTTATTTTGTCTGGAAAAGGGTCCGTGTGCAAAGCCTCTGCTGGACTCTCCTGGCAAAGCTCTTGTTTTCCAGGGCAGCCTCTGTGGCTCATGCAGCAACGCGACGTCCCAGGCACTCGGAGCGGGTCCCGAGAGGCCCCGTGGGGCAGAGACACCGAGCGCCCCGCGACGTCCCCGCAGTTCCTCATGCGGCTGCGGCTCCCGACGCCTGCGCGCTCCGGGCAAGCGCGGCGCTCCGGCGCTCCTGCCCGGGCAGCAGCTCCTGCACTGCAGCCGCGGTGCAGGTGGGGCTTGGGCGATGCTTTCCCTGCACGGAAGGCCGCCCGGGAGGCACCTCTGCAGCACCAGAGCTCCTTGGAAAAGCTGGCGGGCAGAGCCCATGCAAGGGCAGCGGCCCCGCGCGCAGACGGCGCCGCTCGGCGGCTCGGCCGTGCGAGGAGCACCCCATGCTCGGCGCGGCTCCGGCCCCGGGCACTTCATGGCCGCCCGCGCGCCGAGCGCAGGGGCCACGGCACTAAATTTAGCCCTGAGCTCGGAGCGCTCCCGGCACGGGCGGCAGCTCAGGACAGGCCGAGGGCAGAGCCGGTGCTGGAGCATCCCGTCCTGCTGGGACCGCGGCTGCTCCCACCCATCCCAGCTGTGCTCTGCCCCACGGGACGGCTGGGATTCAGGGTCCCACGGGACGGCACCCCCCAGCTGCCTCCCATCCCAGGCGCATGCAGCACCCTGGGATAACCTCAGCCCCGGGACCCACAACCAGGGCCCCATGGGGCAACAGCCCCACTGTCCTGCCCAGACTCCTGCAGCACCTGGAGCTGCTGCCAGCACCACTGCAGCACCCACAGGACCCCCAGAGCACCCGTGTCCCGATGCACAACCCCATTCCCCAATGTCGGCACATCTGCACGCCCTGGATGTGGTGAACAGCAGGGCCCTCAGGAAGAGAAGCTGGAGCCACCGCAGGCACCTCGGCCAGAAGAACTTCCCAGCGCACGGGGGGTGTGAAACGGGACCAGGACGGAAGAGAGGGGGAAGCAGCGACTGCGCAGGCAGCCCCATGAGGCTGGCGGGAAGGCCGGGACGCAGACGGGAGCAGCAGGATGGGGCTTGGGCCAGAGGTGCCACCCAGGAGGCGACCATGGACACCCCCCAGCACAGACCAGGCTACCCACAGCTCCTGTGTCCGTCCCAGCACCCCCCAGCAGCAGCACGAGGAGGAGGAGGAGGAAGGCCGCCGATAGGAATGCTCGTCCCGCTCCGTTCTCAGCGCCGGCCAAGGTCACGGCGCTTTCCCTGCCGCTCCCGATCAACAGAGCGGCCGGCGCCGCCGCCGAGTCCAGCAGCCAAACGGCTGGAGGGCTGGGAGAGGACGGCAGGGAAAGAGGAAAGCACCACCCTGGTGAAGACAGGGCCCCTGCGGCCCTCGCAAGGCCCCTCGCAGGGGCTGCAAGGAGAGGAGCAGAGCCCAGGGCCCCCGCACGTCCCTGCAGATCCGGGAAACGCACTTGGGAGCCCCGTCCGGGGAGATCCCGTGGGACGTGGGAGCAGCAGTGCCCACATGAGCCGGCCCCGCGAGGGGGACGTGCCACACGAGCACAAGCATCGCTTGCCAAACGTCACCTCCTTGCATCCGTCGCCTCCTCAAAGCCTCTCCCTGCACCAATACTGCCTGCACACTGAAAACCCTGCGCCTTGGAAACACCAAAGCCCAAGAACATTTCCCTGGTCAGCAGTGCAGCCCAAAATGCAGCGTCCCTAACCCGGCGGGTGCAGGGCCAGATTCACCCTGCAGGGCCACGGGGCAGGATGGAACCACTTGCTGCCCATCTCCACTGCTGCCCTTCCCGGGATGGGGTGGATGGGGTCCCCCAGTGCCACCACAGGGTGCAGGGCAGAGGGGTCCCGCTCACCGCGACACCACGGGCCGGGTCGGCCGGAGCTGTCACCTCCCGCCCCACGCGGCGCCCGCCGGGACACTGCCTTCCTGCCCTCTCCTCATTCACAAACAGACCGAGTGTTTGCGCCTTCCTTCCCCAGACCCCGCGGCAGGGCACAAAGGCCCCACTACTGTCATCACAGGCCAGGCACAGCCACCACATCGGCCCTGCCCGCGCACAGGAACATCCCCGAACACATCGAGAAGTGAGCGCAGCTGCTGGCCATCGCTGCAGAAGCCCCAAAGCTGCCGTCTACAAAACAAGGCGGTCAGGAAAGCAGCCCCGCTGACCACGGGGCACCGGGTGCCACATGCGGACACAACGTGCCCCAAAGACGCTGCTGCTCCCAGCAGCAATGGGGCGTCGGGACACCCCAGCTCCACGGGATGAAGCGGGAAGAGCCACGCTCCCCAGAGAGGAACCACCAACGTGGCACGGGTTCCGGATGAAAAAGTAGCGGGAAGGGAGGCTGGAGGGTCGGGCTTGTGGCAGCGCTTCTGCCCGCACGGCTCCTCTTCAGGGCACTGCCACGGGCTGGGGCTGCGGGCAGAGGGGCAGCAGGGCTGGCCCCAGCCCAGGAGCAGGGCTGGATGCCGTGGGAGGCGCCGCCGCTCCGGGTGTCAGCCCTGTCCCAGCTCGTGCAGCTCCGCGCCCGCCCGCCCTGCACCTTCCCGCCGAGCCCCATCGCTCCCTTAGGAGGACAACAACCACCTCCATGACGGATGGTCCTGCAGCCCAGAGAGCAGGGACAGCGGGAAGCGCCGCCACCACCACCCCGCGACGCATGGGCAGGGACGGCCGCCCACGAAGCCCTGCCGCTTGTCCCATTGCCGCAGCACTTCCTTCAGCCCCAACCATGCATGCGCTTCTGCGCTTCAATCTTCAATTAAGACTGCAGCCTTCAATGTACCACATAATACATTCTTATCCTTAAAGCAGCTCGTTAGCCGCCTCGCCGATCACAGGCGGCAGTTGTGCAATAAGGGGAGCGCAAGGACAAGGGCTGCGGAGCCGCTCGCTTGCCCGTCGCGGGGCCACGTTGGCAACCCAGCCGCACGCGCCAAACTGCCCCGGGCGGGCGCTGCCCGTGGCCGCACACAACCCTCGCCTGCACGAGCGGCGGCACCCGCGGGGCCGTCGGCCCTGCCAGCGGGGCCGAGACCCGAGGGGCTGCGAGCGGCTCGCGCGGCGCTGCCCCGGTTCGCGCGCCGCGCTCGGCCGCTCTTAACGGGCAGCGCGTTGCAGGGCGAGCAAACAAATACACCCAGCAGCGGTTAAACTGCACAGCTCTGTCTGACCTCGGAGGAGCCTCCTGCTCGCAGGGAGCATTTTAAAGCCATCAGTGAGTGCGGGAGGGATGTGAGCTCCGTCGCTCACTCAGAGCGATGCAGCGTTCAGGGCACAGGCAGCAGGCTCCGAACCGCCGCTCTATCCAACGCACTGAGTCCTGCTGTTGTCACCTACCAGGCACTGTGGGTGCTCCGAACGCCACTTTTCCAAGGGAAACGAGGGCTGAGCCCACACAGTGGGCACAGAGAAGGCGCTGCCCGCGACAGCAAGGGAGACACCCTGCATCTCGAAAGTGAAACCCAGGCAAGATCAGTTTGCTGCCCAAATCCACCCTCCGACTGCTTGCCAGCCACCACAAATGTAGTTCTGCTTTCCTAGCAAAATAGCCCCTATTCCAAAGCAGACCTGCTGCAGGGACCTCACCCCCAGGTAGGACACTGCAGGACTGAGCCTTTTGCCACCAAAATCCACAGCAGCAATTGCCAATATCGGGATAGCGAAACTTCTCCAGCTCTACACAGCCCTGCTGCAGCCACGCTGATTGCAACAGGTTTGAACACAGGCTCTGGAGGCGCACGACACAATTTCTTCCATTGCTACATTCGTAAATCAGGCTCATTTTGACCTTTCTTTCCCTTCACCTCATTTTTCTCAAAGTCCTCAGCTTCTCTGCGTGGCACCCAGCTAGTTCTTGCAGGGAAGGCAATTACTACGCAGCGCAAATGAGAACACCAGTATCAGAGGCGGCAGAACCAGCAGGGAGGCGCAGGCGGGTCCCGCTCGCCCTGTGCTGCTTTCGGGGCTTCGCAGCCGCTCCGCACACCGCAGTGCTCACCACAGAACGTCGGGGCAGGTGGGACAGACGGAGCCAAAGCTGACGCGCACAGCTGGGCGCCCAGCAGGTCTCCTGCGCTCCAAAGGAAAACCCTCCGGCAGCACGTTCCCAATGCTGGTCTCCAGCAGCTGCAGCGGCTCCAACAGCAGCGCCCTTGCTGTGATACCCTAAAAACTGCAGGAACCCAGAGCCTGAGACCCTGGGCCCAGTTTTGCAGACCAGCAGCCCCTTGCTCAGGGTTCATGCTAGCCCACAAGCCCATCAAGAAAACCTGCCTTCCGTACCGTGCTTTTCCTCAAGCACCTAAACGTTTCCTGCAAACCAATTTCCTCCAAACCCACAATACACATGGGGACCTGGGCACCCGCTGTGTGTTACCCCAGGGCCACACACTCTCTAAAAGCCCCCCCCAGCACCCCCGCGGCCGCTGCCCCCGCCGGTTCTGCTGCTCCCCGCGGCCTCAAGGAGCCGGTGGCCCTGCGCAGGGCGGCAGGACGGGGCGGCCCCGCGCCACTTCCCACGGCCCCGGGCGCCCCGGCAGAGCCGCGGGACCCACCGGCCGCACGGAGGGACAGAGGGAGCGGTCGCGGCGCCCGCCCGGGGCCGCTCAGGGTCGGCAGGAGCCGAGGGGGGCCGGGACAGGAGCGAGGGAGCTCGGGCTCCGTCAGGAGCAGGTGCCGCTCGGGACCTGGTGCCGCCCGGGGTTCGCGGCCCCCCGGGGGTCGCTCCGCGGGCTCCGCGCTCACTCACCGCACGTCGCCGTAGGCGCCCGCGTAGGCGTCGCCCCAGGGCGCGAGCTCGCTCTTGATGCAGGCGGCGGCGGCGAAGGGCGCCCGCGGGAACCAGCCGTCGGGGGGCAGCTCGGCGGGCTCGGCGGGCGGCGCGGCCGGGCGCGCGCAGGCGAAGGCGCCGCCGGGCGGCTCGGCGCACGGCCCGTACAGCTGCCCCTCGTCCGCGAAGAAGGTCGGCCAGGGCGGCGCGGGCCCCGGGCCCGGCCCCGGCGCGGGCAGCTCGGCGCCGAAGCGGCACGCGGCCGCCCAGCCGCGCTCCAGCGCGCCCTCCAGCTTGACGCGGGCGGGCGGCCCGGGCCGGGCGGGCGGCTCGGCGGGCGGCGGCGGCGACGACGCCCGGAACAGCGGCAGCGGCTGCACGTCGAGGGGCGGCTCGGCGCCCTTGCAGCCGGGGCGCGCGGCGAACATGCAGTCGTCGCGGGGCGCGGGCTCGGGGGGCGCCTCGAGCGCCTCGAGCGCCAGCCCCATGGAGGCCGACACGGCGCGGCAGAGCTCCTTGGCGCTCTCGCCCAGGAAGCCCTCCTTGGGCGGCTCGGGCTCGGGCGGCGGCTCGGGCAGCAGCGGCGGCGGCAGCGCCCCCGCCTCGCACAGCAGCTCCTTGAGGTCGGCGGCGCAGGCGGGGAAGGGGCCGCCGGGCGGCTCGGCGGGCGGCGGGCGCGGGCTGGGCGGGCCGGGCCCCGGCTCCGCGCGCGGCCCCGGTGCCTGGAAGGCCTCGCACACGCTCTGGAAGAAGCTCTGGAAGGCGCCGCGGAAGGTCCTGCCCGCGGGGCGCGGGTACACGCGCCCGACCCCCACTTGCACCTCCATGGCCGCTCCGCGCAACAGGCGCGCGCAGGGGAGCCCGCAGGAGCGGCCGCGCCGCCGCCGCCGCCGCTTTTAACGTTCCGCGTCGCCCCGGGAGCGCGGAGAGGCGGCGGGAGGAGGC